TCTAACAAATAATAAGATATATATATGTATATATGTATATATATATATATATATATATATAATATAATATAATTTGTCCTCATGATATTTGAATGATAGCACTATAACTCTTTCAGAAGAGCTAGCACAAATTTGTGAAGCCCAGAATAATGCAAGTGCCATTCAAATTGTGATTAATTTCACCAGTAGAGAGAAAATGTGTAGTCAATATCTTTTTTCTATTGTATAACTTTTAACCAACCTCATCTTGTATCACTTGCGGCCTTCATGCTCTATTTTATTCCACTACACCACTTATTCTGCAAGGACTTATTTACTTCTGCTAAATTTATCACCTATAATGTTTGATTAAATAAAATTGATTCCATCTCATTCTTCATGGCCAGATCACACCTGATTGATTCTTTATTTTTTTATCATCATAGCTCATTAGTTCACCTCCACCTATCAACAAAATAGTACAATACAGAAAAGTAACGTTGTGATGATCTGACAGTTCTGCAAGACCTCCGGACTATAGCAACCAGAGTTCTCTAACCTTCTTTTAAGGGTTATATTCTCCTACTCTACACTACCTATATTTTCAACCTCAACTACAGTAATGACTTTCTTCAGATCTTCAGAGCTTTTAAAGTGTGATTTCAGGATGTCTTTTAAGATATCTCAATTGAAGGTCACAACTTTGCTCTTGATATTTTTTATTTGTTGTCCCAAACCTGATAACCAAACTTGATATCACCATACCCACTAAAGAAGCATCTCTTAGATTCAGTATCAAGTTTACCAATGGAAATTGAATTAGTATAAACACAAGAAAGGGAACCAAACACTTAAACAAAAAAATTACCTCATCACCACTCAAGTATGCAAAAATGCCAATGGCCTTAGCCTAAAAGACTTCTGGTAATCCATCATTCAATCTCACATTGCTAGCACGATGATTCGATGTTCTTCTCATTTTCTTAGCCAAATCATTCTGTTGAGATTTTCCTAGAATGTTCTTTATTTTGATGTCAGTACTGAGCAACAACGCTTGAAATTATCATCTAAATATTCTTGTGTATTTATCATCTAAATCTTTATTTTGATGCCAATTAGCTTTCTATCTTTTAAAGGATCAAAGACATTAATTTATTCTTAAGAAGGTAATCAATATCTTCTTACTTAATGATAATTAGAGCAATGAGATGTAACTCTGGATGGCTCCCAAAGATTCACATGGACCAACTCCACCATTGCTGATTTAGGTTTTCGTTCTACATCAACATAGCCCACATTTTTTTGATTTCCAAAGTTACAGCATTTGCACAAGCTGTCCCAAAAAACTTCCTTTTTGAATGAAACATCAAACATCATTATTCCATTCTCACTTAATGCCAGGCCTACAGTGGCGTGGCTCAAAATTTGTAACCATATCAGCTACTACAATGGTATCTCTATAACATTTTTTCTATCTCTATAACGTAAAAGTAACAGAATATTCCAATTTTGTTCCCCTAAGGAACCCTATGATTCTTTATGTGATTTTACAACAATATTATGACCTTCATCTTTATAACGCCCAACTAACCTCAGCTTGAGCACCAACTTAGAAAATGTCTCACCTTAAATACCTTCCAAACCGACGATTAACCATTTTAATCTTACATCAACATCATTAATAACACCTAAATGTTCGCAATCAGCAAGAAAGCTTTTCATGACTCCCATCAAAGTACTCTAAAATTTTATAATGTGCAGATATATGTAAAGAAACACTTGAATCTGACAATAATTAATAGAAGTACCGACAGATAAAATGTAAGCATCCTGTATCTCGTTGAAGACCGTGTTCACCGCATCATTATTTTTCTTTAGTGCTAAGTGAGTCTTGTTCAAGCGCTGTCTTGCTACAATTCTAGCACACCAAATTCCTTCCATCTAAGGGACTTGCTTCTCCCATTTTAATATTCTTTTCTAGCACACTGCATTCCATCCAACCCTGGATTACCTTCGCCATGCATGTATGTAATAGCTACTCCTATTTTGATTTTCTTATGTTACTTTAACCTTTCTAGGATAACTCTCAAAACTAGCCCATACCATCAACATTGAAAGCAAAATTCAAATTTAAGATTTCTCCAAAATATATCTTTCAGCCCTCCTTTACACGAAGTATTCCAGACATCATTAAACTTCAATTATGAGTTCCCTATGGAATTGCTCATAGCATCCCTTATAGGTTCCCCTAGTACTCAAACAATGAGGTCAGTAAATTAGAGCGCATACCTAATCATTAAATTTAATCTTCCACAAAGATCAATTGATTCACAATCATATTCAACTAATTTAGGTGTTCCAATATGAAATCAACTTCAACATCTTTAGATTTTTTACAGATCAAAGTTTATCATTAATATCCGGCAATCTTAAGAAACCAGCATTGTTCTTTACAATCATTGTGTTGTGAGCCCCAATCATTGACAACGTCAAATGGAACACTCCCAAAACTTGTCTATATCAATCCTATTGCTCAAGGGATACAGCCTCAACTTGCTATGCAAATAATCTTATCTGTGTCTTCCAAAATGAAAGTACATGCCATCAAACTTTGATCATTTCCAATGTCGATCCTTCTCCAAATAGCTTTTAATCATAACCAAAAACTCTGATACCAGCTATACAAAATTAGGCTAAATCTACTCAAATCATCAAAAACAAATATAATAGAAATCAAGTAAACAACAAAACATAACAAGAATTTTATATAAGTTCACCAAATTGAGGGCTATGTGATATTGCCCGCTAACGTCTATAAAAAAAACTTAGAACCACGAGAAAACGAAGTAAAATCCCAACACACAAATATTGGATACCATTCTGAAGCTACACCACAACGCCTCCCTTCCAACCCCCAAATTGCCATATCACATAAGTCATTATTATATTTGCATAATGCTTTTCTTTGTAGGCCATAAATTTGGCTCCACAAACTTAGCAAACCATGATGTACCAATCAGATTTTATAAAAGATGACGGTTGCTCTAAAAAGTTTCATTCAATATACTCAAAAGAATATGTTCTTCACATACTATGTGATGAATTAATTGCAACAAAAACAAATCCTATTGTGTTTCTTCATGCAGTATCATTAAGAATAATCCTTTGTATAGCCCGAACTGGTCAAGCATGAATCTTGAATCAACCTTAAATTACAATTCAAGAAAATAAAATCAATAGGTATAAAAATTGTTGACCACGCCACAATGAAATGCTTAATTTACCTATGAAAGTTACCAGTCTACATCATAGTACTAGAAAATGTAAAATTTATTCTCTCATATTGGCAGGATACTCTCTTATCCCAAGAACACTGTTATGGTTTTCCACCGTGTACATATAACAGCTTTCACCAGACCAAGGAAAAGTTTCACCAACTAGTTTCAAAGCCCCTGTCGCTCCAGAAGTAAATATACATTTGTAGTCCATCGGAGAGGCATTAAAATACGCTAGTACCTGGTCCAACAGGGAAAATCGTATATGAATGAAATAAACGAACTAAAATATAATAAAGGATAATAATGACAGGCAATAGTTAGATTACTTCTAATCAAACATGCACACATAACATTCTAATAAGAAATTCAGGATGGGCAATGTTCAGTTTGGTTCCCAGCTGATAATGATTAGAAACTGAGCAAACCATCAAAGACAGAAATCACAACAAAACCTAATCAAAATTCAAACTGAACTTGGATTTAGCTCAGATTTTTCAGTTTCGAGTTACAAATCAAAATGCCTATGGCTTGGTTTGGTTTGATTTATAAGTATTTTTGGTTTTGGATAGACAAGCAAAAATTGGAACTAAAAAACAGATTCTAAAAGTTATAGATTTATAGATTTATCAGCAAACTTTAGTCCAGCTCAATATTATTCAATTCCGTAAACCCAAATACTTAAACCTGATCAAACCAATAAATTTATGAAGAACTAAACCCAAACAAAAATCAAAATCAAACAGATTTTTTTTTTTTATTCAGTTATTCAATGTAGATGATTTCTCCTGTCCTAACAAAGTATTAGATGAAGATAATGGTGATGCATAAAACAAAAGAAAAGGTTAGTAGAAATTTTGGAAAGAAGACTACTTCTTGCTCTAATACATGCATTACACCTTGCTACATAAATATAATAAAGAAAGGAAGTTAAATAGGAATCCCTCCAAATAAGAAAAACCAAAAAAGAAAATAGCAAATAAGGAAACATAATTAGTGAAATAAATTTTACGGAAAGGAAATAAATTCCTACCTAATGTTAATTGGCACTTTCCAATACTCACCCTCAAACTGAGTTGTATATAGGGTTGTAAACGAGTTGAGCTTGAGCGAGCTCAGGCTTAGCTCGTGTTCGGCTAGTTCGAAATTGCTCGGGTTCGAAATCGCCTCATTCAAAATTGTTCGTTTTTAAAATTGTTTTCGTGTTCAAGATTAGCTCGTGAACAACGTGTTTTTGTTCAGCTCGGTTTAAATATTTTTGTTTGTGTTCGGCTCGTGTTTGGCTCAAAATTAGATCGTTAAATTTATTTGAAAAAAATAAATGCAGAGTGTTGGATTCGAACATGCACCAAATTTGTGCAATAAAAGGCACAAAACCACATGACCAAACGTGTTGTTGTGATTGAAACTTAGATATAAATATATATAATAAATTATTACATAAATAATATATAATATATCATTATATAAATAAAATATTTAATTTCTTTATTTCGAACTAAAACGAGCCAAACATGAGTGAACAAAGGGTTCTTCGTGTTCGGATCCTTTATAATTCAAGCTTAAAAAATTTGTTTGTGCTCGGCTCATTTACTTAACGAACGGGTCGAACACAAGCTATTTCACAAGCCGAACATGAGTTTTTCAAGAAAAACGAGCTTTTTTGACAGTCTTAGTTGTATATATTATACAAATCAAACTTAGACATCGCTTCATCATGATTGACCCTTGATAGTACTTCGATGAGAGTATCAACAATCTGAAGTATTGTAAGAATATAGGTGAGCTAAAAATTTTCATTATTAACCTTTCCTTAAATGAAGTGTTGGTCAATCACAATACATTTTGTTTGGTCATGAAGTACAAGATTTTTAGCTATACAAACAGTTTTTTGGCTATCATTGAATAACTTAAGTGTCCTTCATCTCAGCCTTAATGTCACGAACAAATAGTCCCACATTGGCTAGTTGTAGGGCCGAAAAACAGTATTTAAGTATTGGGCTGCCCACCACCCCTAAGGGCTCTTTTGGGAGGTGACAAGTGGTATCAGAGCAGACTACTGTCTGCCAGGTGTGTGGACTCTCCATGGTCCAGTGGGACCCTCGGTGGAGCCGATCCGTGACGAGGGCGTCACGTGATTGGGTTGAGGAGAATGTCACGGACAAATAGTCCCACATTGGCTAGTTGTAGGGCCGAAAAATAGTATTTAAGTATTGGGCTGCCCACCACCCCTAAGGGCTCTTTTGGGAGGTGGCATTAAGCTCCCTTAAAAGCTTTAGAATTCACATTCCCTCACATATTCCCAATTCTTCATTGTTCTTAATAGCACGATATTCAGGAAGCCCCACATCAGTACTCCAGAGTTGGGGGAGCCTCGACCTCATTTTTCAATGCTTCTGGCTTCTCGTAGCACAGAGACAAATCTGCCACATTGAATGTAGCAGAGATATTGTAATCTCCTGGTGGATCAATCTTATAGACTTTGTCGTTCAACTTTGAGAATCCTAAAATGTCAGTTTGCTCTGGACTTGAGTTTGCTAAAAGCTCCAAGAGGAACCTTTCATTCTTCAACTGAATCCACACAAGGTCTCCTTCTTGAAAAGCCACTTTTTTTGGACTCGTTTGCCTATGCATGGTACTTGCGGTTTAGGTTAGTAATCTCCTTTGCCAGCCCTTCATGTAGCTTCTAAATCTATTGCACACGTTCCTCAGCATCCTCACTAATCTCTGATGTTGTTAGAAGAAGTACCAATTTGAGTGGAGTGAGCGGGTTACGCCCGAATCTCAAATAGTGTCCTGTGGTCTGACTCACAGAATTGTTGTAAAATTCCTCAGGTTTTTGTCCACTATCTCTGTTCGACCATCCATCTACGAGTGAGCTCCTTAACTAAATTGAAGCTTGGTGTGAGTCCTCCAAAAGTGACTCAGAAACTTGATATCCTTATCGAAAGTGATGGTCCTGGATATCCCTGGTAGTCTCACCACAACCATCACGAAATCCTTATTTTGCTAGGTCCTAGGGAGACCCACCACAAAACCCATGCTGACATCCACCAACAAGGCCTCCAGTACTGGTAGAGAAGTGTATAGTCCTGTATTTTGTCCTCTGAATTTGGCCACATGATACATCTAGCATTGCCTGATATGCCGCTCCATATCTCTCGTTAATCGAGGCCAAAAGAAATGTTCTCTCACAAGTGCGAGAGTCTTATCCCTGTCGAACTGTCCTATCAGTCCTCCATTGTGGCATTCTTGAACAAGGGACTCTCCAAGCGAACATCTAAGAATACACAACTTAATCTGGTAGAACAAGTAATCATCAGCTCTATATTACTGCTCGATAAGCTTTTCCAATCATTCGTGCCAATTTTTTTCTAAAATACTTGTCTATCTCTAGAATATTTCCTTCATTGCCTCAAAGCCTAACACTTGAGCCAGCATCGTAGTCATCAGCAAGTGACGACGGCTTAGTGCATCTACTACGCGGTTTTGTCTCCCAGACTTGTGCTTAAGCATAAACTACAATGGTGCTAAGAACTCCATCCACGACGCGTGTCGGCCCTTCATTTTGTTTAGGTTGTTCGAGAATTTCAAAGCCTCATGATTTATGAACAAAGTGAACTCGCTCGTCAGTAGGTAGTGGCTCTACTGATCAAGAGCTCTTGTAATAGCATAGAACTCCTTGTCTTACGTCAAATTTTTCATTTTGGACTCATTCATCTTCTCGCTGAAGAAGGTTATGAGGTGGCCGCACTATTCCTATGCCCACGTTAGATGCATCATACTCAGTATCGAACAGTTGATTGAAATCCGGTAATGCCAAAATTGGTGCCTGAGTCATCTTCTCCTTCAGTGTGTCAACCGATTTGAGTTGCAACTATCTACTAGAATTTCTTTCCTTTCAAAACTCGATCAGGGAGGCAATGATGGTACTGAAGCTCCTGATGAATAGCCTATAAAATAATGCTAGTCCCAAACACTTTCTCAACTTTGGTGAAAGACTATAGTGTGACCCAGCTCACAATGGTCTCCATCTTTGTAGGATCCATCTGAATGCTTGCACTGGACACGATATAACCCAAAATGCATACTTGTATTGTCAGAAAATGGAACTTCTTTGGATGGATGTATAGCTATTCTGATCGCAAAATCTCTAAGACCGTCCTCACGTGTTGTAAGTGCTCCTCAGATCTATTGTATACCCGAATGCCGTCAAAGCACACCACCACAAATTTATCGATGTGAACCTGGATACCAGATTTATTAATCTCATAAATGTGTTGGGCGCATTAAACAATCCGAAAGGCATGGTTGTCCACTAGTACAATCCATCTTGGGTTTTGAAAGCAGCCTTCCACTCATCCCTGGCCTCATTTGGATCGAATGCACCAGCTGCGTAAGTCGATATTATAAAAGACAGTGGCTTCTTGCAACTGATCCAGGAGATTGTCCATGTGAAGTATGGGAAACCGATACTTAATAATAATCTTGTTAATGGCTTTAATATCAATACACATCCTTCACCATCTTTCTTTAATGGGTACCATCAAGGCGGGGACAGTACACGGATCGGTACTCTCTTTAGCCAAACCTCTCACAATGAGATATTGTACTTGTCGATACAACTCCTCATACTTGCAGGTCTCAATCTGTAGGCAGGTCGAGTTATATTGAAACTTGCATATATGGATGATAGGGAACGATGGGATCAGAAGAAGATGGAGCGTCGGAAATCGTTGGAACCATGGGGAGCTATTGATAACTGGTATCTTGGGAGAGACCCAACCTCCATAAATAGTTCAGGTAGCCTTCAAGCTGGGAGACAAGCCAATGATTGAGGCATATATAATTACAAATAACATTCTTATGATTAAGTTAATGACATATGAATATACTTATAGTTACATGCAACTATCTACTAGAATTTCTTTCCTTTCAAAACTCGATCAGGGAGGCAATGATGGTACTGAAGCTCCTGATGAATAGCCTATAAAATAATGCTAGTCCCAAACACTTTCTCAACTTTGGTGAAAGACTATAGTGTGACCCAGCTCACAATGGTCTCCATCTTTGTAGGATCCATCTGAATGCTTGCACTGGACACGATATAACCCAAAATGCATACTTGTATTGTCAGAAAATGGAACTTCTTTGGATGGACGTATAGCTATTCTGATCGCAAAATCTCTAAGACCGTCCTCACGTGTTGTAAGTGCTCCTCAGATCTGTTGTATACCAGAA